CACCTGAAATCACTGCCTAATGGTGCTGGTAGAAATGCTTGCCTCTTGTGGACAAATGTGATGAGCATTTTTAATGATGCCAGATACAATACTGGACAATGGCAATAAACCTTACTGTCAACCAGTTTTACTAGATTAAGCATGTAAGCCCATTGAAACAGTCATCTGGAATGATGCTCTGAGGTTCAGAAAGCCTGACCACAGTTTTTTTTCTGGCATATACTGTATTTAAGAGGATCACCAGCATCACCTCTGAGAGGTGGACAGCCTGAGCACACAGCGGTGGTCAGCCTACCTGTGGCACAGTTTTCATTATTAGTGTACTGCGTTACTCTTGGCTCCTGAAATTGCTTGTTATCCTAAATGTTGTCCTTTCCTTCCCACCCCCACCCCCTTCAGTCAGGTTGAAATGTGTGTGTTGTATTAGCCAAAGTATCCTGGAAGAAGATGCAAAAGAAAGGACAAGTGCTCTTTAAAGGAAAATCCTTCCCCTTGTCCCCACCCTCCCCGAAGCCATCTAGGGATGGGACTTAAGAAACTAAGACCTCTACATCATAAGCCTTTTCAGAGCTGAAGCAGAAATGTCTCCCTCACTTAACCTTGGCTGTCACAAGCCAGCTTTTTATTTTCTCCACTACAGTCCAGGAAGACAGGAATCATCATATAGGCACACAGCTAGAGACTGTCAACCCAACTTCGTGTATCACCTTTCCAAACACCTTTGCATTAGGAAGAGACAGGCAGCCCCTAATTGGGTCACACTGTGCATAGCTCAATTTATGCCTCACAGGCAGAACTCCCAGGGCCACCTTTATTTCATATGCTTTTCATTGGGTTGCATTTTAGTAAACCTTTAAATTTGTCCCTAAAATAGTCAGTATACATTCCAAGGGAATACTGATATCTTCCATCATACAGGACATCAGATCTGTTGTCAGACTACAGTGCTGGCTCCTCACAACCCCTAGTTATTATTCAGTTATTCATCCCTGACCACTAGTGAGGAGTAATTCATATTTTGGCTTTTCTTCCACCTGAGTTCTTTCTCTTACTTATAATGAGAGATTCCTGGGAATTTCCTGGTGGTCCCGTGGTTAAGACTCCACACTTTCACTGCGAAGGACACAGATTCAGATGCTAGTCAGGGAACTAAGATCCACAAGTTGCAAGACATGCCCTCCCCCCAGAAAAAATAGTGTGACAGATTCATGGGGAGATCGATCCACTGTCCATATAAGGGATGGAGTGAGCCCAGTGTGTATAGGAAAAAGAGCATGGGCTGAAAGTCAGGAGACCTAGATTCTATATACAGCCCTACTACCAACTAGCTTTGTGGCCCTGAGCAAGTTATTCAAATTCTTTGCATTTTATCTTTCCACTTCCAGTTCTAAGATTCTCTGATTGCAAGTGGATATTTGGGCTCTCATCCCTCCAGAACTCTCCTTTCCTCTGTTCGAGTACTGTTGTGAATAGATAGTTTTATGTAATATAGCTTCTGACATTATAGTCACACAAACTCAATATGTATTTCTTTGTGCTGCTGAATTGTCCAGTCATGGACTATGCCAGAGAGTAAACTGGGGACCTGGCACATCTCAGATTCTGCTTGGACTTTTCAAAGAGCCAGATGGTTAACACATTTTTGAGTGCCAATGAGCCTGCTTCTGCAAATTCCTCCCCATCCCAATCTAGTAGAAATCACCCAGTCTTATGCCCATCTATTGTTCAGGCAGCTGGAGCAGATTTGTACCAAAGGAATAGGTAGGCCTTGGAAACTTAGGCCTTCTCCAGGGGCATTTCATGCTCCATAGGGACATCTTTCAGATTAGAATCCCAACCATCCATCAGTTAGCTTCATTAAATAGGCGAGGCCCACATTCCAGTACCAAAAACTGGTCTGCATGGAGAAGCTGAGATCTGGGGCAGAAGTGGTGGGGGATTGTTCTTGCTGTGATTTAATTATGACTTTGTGGGTCAGAGATGTGGAAGCAAATCTGAATGAGCCAGCTCTCAGGACCAGCTGTCAAGCACTTGGCTTGTAATCTGTCATCCTGTTTGTCCCCAGTACTCTTGGCTGGAGCTCACCAGATAGTTTAATGTTTGTTTCCTTCACTACTCTGATGCACACCCTGGAGGCCTGTCTGAGGATCTCAGACTGTGAAAGGCACCCCAGCCAGGCTCTTTGCTGGCTGCTCCCAGTGGTTTGAATACATCAGCAGCCCTGGTTTTCTTCCTGTGGTACAGATGGCATCAGCACCCTCTCCATGTAGATGAAACACATTCTGTAACTCTTCTGTCAAGAGATGGCCTTTGTAATGAGACATTCTCGCCAGTGGAATTCCAGAAGTCCCTGTTCTGCAACCACTTAACACCACTTTACTGAGCTTTTCACCTCAAAAAGCCAAGAGCTCTCACTGACATTGAATATTATTTATTTAATGGTTTATTTTGAGGAGAAGGTCCATCTTCATAGGGAATAGGATGGGCACTGGGACCATCAAGAAGAATTGATGATGGGCACTCTACCCTGAGAGAATGGAACTGAGAGAAAAAGAGGTGTAGTTATCAGTTAAAACAGGTGTGGTATTGGTGTGAAAAGGGCATGGTTAACAAACATTGGCAGAGAAAGGAATGGTTAACATAAAGTGTCCGTATTTATCTAATATAGAACAGGTTTTGAACCACGTCTCAGGACACATTTCTGTGGCCGCATAGGGTAGTTCGGTAAATGACCACAATTTGAGAGCACCCAGGGTCTTCTGATCTTATTCTCTTTTCACTGAGCAATCTTCTGAGGTGAATTGAGTTTCCTTAGTAGATTTTCCTACTGAGAAGTATAATGACCAGCTGTTATCCCTTTAGTTCTCTTAACAGTTACTGTTTTCCTTGTAAATTGGCCTTCTGCTTTCTCTTCCTTCCCCAGGTCATTTAGTTAGCAGGAATTGGTTCTTCCTGAGCCAACTGAGAGAATAAAGTGTCTAGACCTACCAGGAGGTTTCTAAACCCTAAAACTTCCACAGTCTGATAGAGGCCCCATCTCCCCTGGCATCACTTAACTACATCTCATGAACATCCACACAGTAGATAGTCTGCTTAAGTCTTAATAGTTCCAAGGGATGTTGATTCCTCTTTCATGCTAATTCATGTCCTGGGAGGAAGTGCAATGTGAGCAGTAACCTAAAGCTGCAAGAGGAGGATCTGGCTCTTCGTGCCCTGTGAGCAGCCTAGTCCCCTCCAGCCAGAGACTGGACACTGAGGCACAGCCCAGCTTGTGGCCTTTATACCTTTCTTCTCTCTTTCAGCACACAAGATCCTCAGCTATTTCTGTGTACCTCCACTCCTGTCTCTCAGCCTCAGATTCTGGAAAATGCCAGTGAACCATTCTTTGCACTACTAAGCCACCTTAGCAGTTATCTTGTGGCATCTCCTCTTTTGGATATGAGAAATTGTATCCAAAGAGATCATATAACTCCATCAGGGTCACACCAGCAAGTTGGTGGAGCCAGGACTAGAGCTCAGGTCTTATGACTGCAAGCACAGTTTTCCTCCTGCGTCACCTTGCTTCTCTGCCTTGTTCTGGCATTTGTATCAGCTGTCCTTGAGAGCACTGTGGAGAATGTATGGCGGCTGTAGAGGTGAAGTGAGAGATCAAATGCAGAAAAAAAATGACAAGAAAGAACTGAAATTATAGGAATGAAATAAGCAGAGAAAACACACTGACTTTAAAAAGTTTGCATTACTTCTGGAAGCAGCAGTGGACAGAGGAGCCTGGCAGGCTATAATCCCTGGGGTCACAAAGAATCAGACAGGACTTAGCGACTGAGCACACACGAATCTGAGGTTTATAGACACAAACACTTCGTTGCTAGTTGATTCATGAATAGAAATTCATCTTTTTCTCTCCTCTGAGTTTTATCTCACTTAAGAGTGTGTCTATAAAAAAAAAAGAGTGTGTCTATAAGCAATACATAATTTCTCGATGTAGCGAGATCAGGCTTGAGGATAAATGGCAGAGAAGGCAGGGGAAATTGCCTAATTTCCTTCCTGGCTTGTTTTTCGTGAGAACCCAATTTTCACATGATTGCTAGTGTTTAACAAGTAAATGTCAGAGAAAGAGAAAATGGCAGGAGAGAAGAGATTTTCTCATGAATTCTGGAAAAAGAAAAAAAAAAGGCTGTATTCTGATCTAGCGAGATGGGGGCCACTGCTTCTCAAGGGGCACAGTTGGAAATAACAAAGTGGGTGATGGAAAACCTGTCAGGAGGAGGGGCGGGAGCTCAGCTGCACATTTCCGCCGTTCATCTGGTGCTGCAGTCTCAGTGCAGTCAAACTAGTCGCCTTGTTTCTCACCTCCTCATCCTTTGGCTGCCTCATTATTTCCTTGACTTTTCGTTACTGTGTTCTTTCCAGTGGGAGGGAAATGCCAGGATGGAGACTATAGTGATATCAGATATTCTTTACTTCTTTGCAAGGCACTCTTCTAGTAATAAGTTATTAGGGAAGCTACCACTATATGCTTGAGACTTAGAATTCCATCCTTAAATACTATGTGGATTTTAACTTTTAAAATTTTTATTATGGTAAAATATATATAACAAAAGTTGCCATTTAAACCATTTTTTTAAGTAGGTCAGTGGCATTCATTACATTCACAATGTTGTACAACCATCACTACTATTCCAAAAATTCTCCATCACCCCAAATGGGAAATTTATACCCATTAACCATTAACTTCCCAGCTGTTGGTAACCTCTCATCTACTTTCCCTATGAATTATTATCATGCATTCTTACTTAATTATATATACTTCCTAAAGTGTGGCAGCAATGGAAAAAAAAAATGGAACCTAAAGTGAAAAGGAAAGGTGGTTATGGATTAAAGACTGAATTATCACAAATATATCTGAAAATTTTTTTACTCTGATGGAATATTTTTATCCTTCCATTCAGAGAAAGCAAAAGTCCCTCTGCTGGGCTAACTTAACATCTTTCATCTTTCAGTGACCATGCAGCAGGTAGCCAGGACAGTGGCTAAAGTGGAACTCTCAGATCACGTGTGTGATGTGGTGTTTGCGCTCTTTGACTGTGATGGTAAGTGGGGCCCTCTGGAGTCTGGCAGGAAAACTGAGCTTTACTGCCCTTGACGTAGACACTGTTTCTGATGGAGCCTTGCAGAGAGCTCCAGTGCACCAGCCTAGACTGTCACAGCAGCTTCCAAACTGGCTCCCATACTCCAGCTGTGCCACTCTCCAGGCCATCACCGTCATCATCCGGCCGGAGAAATCCATCCAAAATGAAAATCTAACTGCATCTTCCTCCCGTCTTCCCGTCCCTTTCTGCCCTGGAGATGAAGTGAAACCCTTAAGGAGAACACGGGCTCCTTAGGGACCTGCCTCCTGCTGCCTCGTTGTTTCCTGGCCCTTCCCCCCTCTGTGTGTCCAGCAATACCTCACTCAATGTGGTTCTCCAGCAGCTGGACTGCTTCCTGCCGGTGCCTTTGCTTGTGTTACAACCACCGCTGAAGTGCCTCCCCCATCTCACTCCCCTGTATTTGGCCAATTCCTGCTCATCCTTTGGGAGTCAACCTAAGAGTCACCTCCAGGAAGTCTTTACTGATCTGTAATTGTACCCTCCCCATCCTGAATTAGACATTCTTCCTCTGTGCCCCATAGCATCTTCTGTTTACCCCATTATGGCATCTACCATAATATTTGAATAATGTACTTGTCTCTCCCACAATCTGATGGTATTTCAAGGGACAAAGTCATTTTTATCTCTTTATTCTCAGCACCTAGCATAGCACAGGACCTGACATATAATATAGTCTCATTCAGCTTCTGTCACACTAGACTGAATTGTCTGTGAGTTGCAGTTGAAAACATCAAGGAAGGCACAGATCAGTTCACTTTTAGCCAAGAGAATTGAATTTGGCCGTGAGAGAGTGCTAGGCTTTGGAACCGATGTGGCAGTGGAATTTTCTCATCTTTGTTCCAAGGCCTTCACTTACCTGTTGTCTTTGCCACTTCTTCCAGGCAATGGAGAGCTGAGCAATAAGGAATTTGTTTCTATCATGAAGCAACGGCTGATGAGGGGCTTGGAGAAGCCCAAAGACATGGGCTTCACCCGCCTCATGCAGGCCATGTGGAAATGTGCACAGGAGACAGCCTGGGACTTCGCTTTGCCCAAACAGTAACCCAGAGTGGCACAAGGAGCCACCTCTCCACACCGGGCACCCTGGCTCCTTGGGCAGAGCCTTGGCACAGCCTCCCTGCTGCAACTTCTGGGAGTAGTGCTCCCTTCCTCCTGGGAATGATCTTAGGATTCAAGTCTCCCCCGTCCCCCCGTTCTGCTAGGCTGATTCTGATCCAGTGATTCTCTCTACAAGTTCTCAAAAACATGAGCAAGTCCTAAAAGTGCAGACCCTTTGCATGTTCAACACTACTATGCACTCAAGCACCTATGGATAAAGAATGCCGGCAACTGTCCCCATGCCTGCCAACCCTGGGAAACACCCAGTTTTCAAGCCATCTTGCTGTGGATTTATATTAACAAGAACATTCCTTGCTTCTCCTCCTGCTGGTGTTTTTAAGCTACAAACTTGGGAAACCTCTGACGGAAAAAGGAAATCAGTGATGAGTGGTAACAAGCATGACCCAGACCTCCCAAACTGGCAGGAAGCCTGGGCCCGAGGACGGATTTGTGTCGGTCCCCAGGGTGGCTCTGAGGCCTGCTCCGAAAGGCCGTGTGCACAGTGGGAATGGAGCAAGGTTAGGGATTTAAAGCAGCTGCTCCATGGCTGTCCCCACTCCCTTCTTTTCCTCTCAGGCTCCCTAAGAAGACTGCAGCATGACTGTGCTTATGAAGTGAACAGCAGTTGAGCTCAGGTTCTGTGCAAGTGCCATTTCCCCTCCAGGTGTGTGCCTCTGGAGCTGAGAGCTCAGAGCCTGTCTGCCCTCTGTCTTAAACACTTGTAAAATACCACTTTAATTATAACAGTTTGCAATAAACAACCCCCCCTCTCCCCGACAAAGGCTCCTGTGTCCTTTATTTTAGGATCCTCCAGGGCCCTTTCCATTTCACTTCTCCACTGGCTTTGAGATCCTGCTAGCAACAGACCTATTTTCTTTCCACCAGAATCTGATTCTTCCTGTTGAGAGGACACTTCAGGCATAAACAAAAAGTGAGGGTATCTGGATGTTAGTGGTGGCATTTTTCAACATGGTTTGGATAGCATTTCATCCTGGACCACTTTAGGTTGTCCATAATCACTCATGCCCCACGATAAGATAGGTGTGATCGGGGATATGAGACATCATCTGGTACAGCAGATGTCAGTGTTAAGAACTATAGCAACTGGGAATTCCCTGGTGGTCCAAGGGTTAGGACTCCACATCCCCACGCTGAGGGCCCCAGTTCAATCCGTGGTCAGGGAACTATTAATAAAATCCCACAAGCCTTGCAGCATGGCCAAAAAAAAAAAAATCCATAGCAACCAGTGTTTTCTATGGATTTACCTCTGCCGCTAACTCAGCGTGACCTTAAGCAGGCAAGCAATTTCCCATCTGTTTTCTCAACTATAAAATGACAGATAGGGTTGAGCTTAATGGGTTTAGAGGTTTCCTCCATGTCCAGAAACCTCTCCCTCAGCTCTTCTCCGGAGTACCTCCAAACTCCAGAGCCTCCATGTAATGCTCCCTGGAAGGATAGGGTCTCACTGCCAATGTAATAGAACCACAATACCAAAAGCCCAGTGCTTCCCTGGAATCCTAGAAGCTGGTAGGGAGTGTTTATCAGCAAGAGAAGAGTAGAGATGTGGACAGTGCCAACCCCAGCGTTTTCTCCAGAGCGGTTTAATAACTCTGGTCATAAGATCTTTTCTGGGAGCAGATTAGGTTATCTCTCAAAGGAGTTTGTCAGTATCTTCCAGTCTGTGCTTTCTTGAGGTACGTATTCTTGGTACCCAAGTGTAGCCTGTGTCTTGCTCATTGTCCCAGGGCTGAGGATCAGCAAAAGGTGAGCTTTTTCTTAAATTTGTCCCATGGTCCCCAGATCACTCTCTTCCCCAGTCCTTTTCTCTCCAGCCTGAAAGAAGAGTCCCATTCACAGCCTTTGTGGGGCATTCATTCCCTCACAAGGAGAGACCTGCCAACTGGACTACATTCACCGAAGCTGAAAACCAGAGCACAGAAGGACAGGGTAAGGATCTCACCCACAACATCTTGAGACCCGGTGTCAAGAGCACAGGTACGTGGAATTCCAGCTGAACTCCCATTAGCTCCTAGGAGAGCCTGAGGAAGCAGAGGAGGTACAGATGCTCAAGAAGACGGGATAGCCACACTTTGGCACAACAGGGCAAATGTGCAGGTGAGAGGTACAAGTTTAGTCACCCAGAAGAGACCAGATGCCCCAAGGAAGGCTTTGACCAAAGACGCCTGTGAGTAGGCTGAGAGGATTTTAACAGGCAGAGTTTGGAAATACAGAAGGCTGATTCGTGGTTCTCCCTTTGTTCCCATTGTTTTTCTACCTAGATAGGATAAACTTCCCCTCTGCCATCAAGAGTCACATCAAACTGTCCCTTTGTTGACCCTCTTCCAGACAGGATTAGTAGCCCCCTCCATTACCTCCCAGGGATCACTTGCCCACCTATAAAAACACTGCTGTAATTTGATGTAATTTTTGTGAGATTGTCACCCACCAAGTTCAGACCCGAAGCAGTGACGTGATCAAAGGAACTGTCCACCACCAAAAGCTAATTTTAAAATATTTCTCAGACAACGTAGAGGTGATACTAGCAGTGCCTCAGTAAATTCCTCCTGAGGTAGACTGGAATCTGGGACTTTCCCAGAGTGCTTGCACTTGCAGCTGGACAAGCATCTCCTTGAGCAACAGAATGCAGAGAAATTACAAGGAATTAAAAATAACAGCATGCCTGCCTCAATCCGTGCAGTTATGAACAATAAGATAAAAAGCTACAGACCAACTGCCACTTAGGTGCCAGGAGCAAAAGCAGAGTACTGCGCATGGTCCCTGCACACAGCACCTTCAAGGGAATGGGCAGAACACAGAACCCGCCCTCCAGCTCCAGCTATGAATCCGCTCCTACTCTCACCCCATTGAAGGAACCAGCCTGCCCGCCATGGGAGAGCGAGCAAGGGCACCTATTTCTTGTTCTTGCCCTTTTGTGCTAGTGTAAGTCCCAATAAAGCCTCGCCCGAATTCCTTATCTGGCCTCTTATAAATTTCTGTTAAAGAATCTAGAGACCCAGGTCAGCTGCTGCTGCTGCTAAGTCGCTTCAGTCTTGTCTGACTCCATGCAACCCCATAGATGGCAGCCCACCAGGCTCCTCTGTCCTTAGGATTCTCCAGGCAAGAATACTGGAGTGGGTTGCCATTTCCTTCTCCAGGTCAGTGACACTCCTAAACACACATACACACAAAAGTTGTCTACTTTTTGTTCTGTACTCCTTAAAAAAAAAAAAAAAAAGGATTTCCCTGGTGGTAGAGTGGGTAAGAATCCACATGCCAGTGCAGGAGATATGGGTTCGATCCCTGGTCCAGGAAGATTCCATATGCTGAAGAGCAGCTAAGCCCGAGCACCACAATTACTGAGCCAGTGCTCTAGGGCCCACGAGCCACAACTATTGAGACTGAGCTTCAACTGCTGAAGCCCGTGCCCCTAGAGCCTGCGCTCTGCAGTAAGAGAAGCCACTGCAGTGAGAAGCCCTTGCACCACGACGAAGAGTAGCCCCCACTTGCAGCTAGAGGTAATCCTTCACAAAGCAACAAAGACCCATCACAGCCCCCCCCCAAAAAAAACTTGTTTTAATATTTAAAAGTAAAAAGAAAAAATAATAACTCTGCACTTCTAGCCCTTAGGCTTTGGACAGGAAAAGAATCTCAGAGGGGAGCCAGCCAAGCTGCTGGGCTTCCTTGATGGGCTCAGATGGGTTTCCTAGATGATCTAAGAGGAAGCAGGGAGAATGTGGAGAGAGTAAGGAAAGAGCATAAGAATATACATGATATTTAAAAATCATCATTTTATTAGCATTTAGTGCCCTACCTAGTTTTAGGTCTGATTGGAATGTACACACCGAATCAGACTGTGAGGCAAAGGGGAAGTCCAAGCAATGACTGCTACTAGATCAGGAGGAAAGGACAGCAGCATGGGAGCCAGGAGCCAGGTCCACAGGCCAGAGCACCCTCTCCAAGCCCAAGCACAGCCCAAGCCAGGTAATGTGTCCCAATAAGCAGCTCAGAAAAACAACGTGGAACAGAGCAGTTCAGCTTTCAGGCTTTGGGTGCCACCTGCTGTCAAGAAGGCTCAGCGCAAGGGAGTCAGTGAGCTGGAGCAGGGTAGGGGAATTGGCTGGAGTCCAGCCTGGCCCCAGTCCTGCTCTGGAGAATAGGCCTCCCCGGGACCTGGGTGGCATGGGCTGGAGCTGGATGAACAGCCAGTGGTGGACCATAACCATAAAAAAAGATGTGGTGGATATGATGATACTCCTGAGGGAAGGGAAGCAGCCGTGTATTGTTCTCTGTCGCTCCAGAACGGGAATTTTACCAGCAAGTGAGAGGGTAAGGGCATTGAGCAAAGTCTTCAAGGAGTTTGCAGAAGGAAATTCAAGGTGAGAAGGAAACAAAAGCAGTAAGGTTAAGTGTAAGCTGTGTGAGAGCACTTAGAAAAGCAGAAGGCTATCTAATCCAGATTGGAATTTCAAGACACTTGCCGAGAATTTTTTTTAATTAAAAAAACATGAGACCTGATGGTTGAGTTGTTGTTGTTACTCAGTCGCTCGGCCCTGTCTGACTCTTCAGACCAATGGATTGCAGCACGCCAGGCTTCTCTGTCCTTCTCTGTCCCCCAGAGCTTGCTCAAATTCACATCCGTCAGGTCAGTGATGCCATCCCACCATCTTGTCCTCTGCTGTCCTTTTCTCCTCCTGCCTTCAATATTTTCTAGCATCAGGGTCTTTTCCAATGAAGTGGCTCTTCACATCAGGTGGCCAGAGTATTGGAGCTTCAGCCTCAGTATCAGTCCTTCCAGTGAATACTCAGGGTTAATTTCCCTTCAGATTGACTGGTTTGATCTCCTTGCAGTCCAAGGGACTCTCAGGAGTCTTCAACACCACAGTCCAAAAGCATCAATTATTCGGCACTCAGCCTTCTTTATGATCTGACACTCACATCCATACATGCCTACTGGAAAAACCATAGCTTGACTATACAGACCTTTGTCAGCAAAATGATGTCTCTCCTTTTTAATATGCTGTCTAGGTTTGTCATAGCTTTTCTTCCAAGGAGCATCTTTTAATTTCATGGCTGCAGTCACTATCCACAGTGATTCTGAAGTCCAAGAAAATAAAGTCCATCACTGTTTCCATTGTTTCCCCATCTGTTTGCCATGAAGTGATGGAACCAGATACCATGATCTTAGTTTTTTGAATGTTGAGTCTTAAGTCAGCTTTTTCACTCTCCTTTTTCACCTTCATCAAGAGGCTCTTTAGTTCTTCTTCACTTTCTGCAGTAAGGGTGGTGTCATCTGCATATGTGAGGTTATTGATATTTCTCCTGGCAATCTTGATTCCAGCTTGTGCTTCATCTGGTCCAGCATTTCACATGATGTATTGTGCATAGAAGTTACATAAGCAGGGTGACAATATACAGGCAAGACATACTCCTTTTCCAATTTTGAACCAGTCCATTGTTCGTGTGTGGTTCTAACTATTGCTTCATGACCTGCATACAGGTTTCTCAGGAGGCAGGTAATGGTCTGGTATTCCCATGTCTTTAAGAATTTTCCACAGTTTGTTGTGATCCACACAGTCAAAGGCTTTAGTGTAGTCAATGAAGCAGAAATAGATATTTTTCTGGAATTCTCTTGTTTTTTATATGATCCAACGATGTTGGCAATTTGATCTCTGGTTTCTCTGCCTTTCTAAATCCAGTTTGTACATCTGGAAGTTCTTGGTTCACATACTTTTGAAGCCTAGCTTGGAGGATTTTGAGCATGACCTTACCAGCATGTG